GTGAAGTCTTTAGTGCAATCACATCAAGTATGACTTTCATGAAATATATCGAGTCATAATTCGTTGAATAATCGTTCATGAAAATCGGCAAGTTGCTGCAATATGCTGAACTCTCGACCGTAATCCATCTTACTACACATTATAATTTTTTCTCATAATTTATTAATTGAAATACATGATAATCATTGATAGATCAATCCAAAAAGGTAGTCTCTCTCTAGATCAAAAGATATTTTATTTTCAAATAAACCTGAATAAATGAATATTTTTCATAAAAATACTAGGAGATGAATATCGAGGCATATATTATCATCATCATCATCGTAATCTATTTTTCTTTTCATGCTTGTATATAGAAAACGACATGACAACATTAACAGAGATAGTTATCTCCAATATTTTATGAAATATCTATCTGTACTCTATATTAATTATAGATGTACAATCAAGTATCTCCAACATTTAGTGCTACTGAGCCTCTTATACGTGATTATGAAAATAAAGCACTTTTTTGGTAAATAATATTCTCTATTGATATTTATAAAAACAAAAACAAAACATAAATTTTATTTTATTTTATAAAGGTTTCGTTGGGCGACAGGTCTCTTGTGGTATATTTCGTTTTCTTTTAATAGAATATATTAGCTGATACAAAGTTGAAATAAGAAAAACGAATTCGTAGTGTACCAAAAAAATGATCTTGTTCGCAGAGTCGAAAACTGGTAGCACAGAATTTTGATCATTTTGAAAACGAAAAGTGTATATATAAAATAAGATTTTTAATGTAACTTGTAGAGCTTTTCACGCTGCATCGTATAGTATACTTTGCTTTTAAAATATGTCTACTAGAGGAGCATAAAAAAACGAGATACGAACATTAGCCATTCGTAGAACACCCATTAGCTTTGAAAATTGGGCACTTTTTATGTTTTGAATAATAATCATGTAGCTTTTTTCTTTAACTTTCTACAAAAATAACTTTAGTTATGGTTCTGTAAAGAATTTCACGGCGCATCTTTGGATAAAACAACCAGCTATAAAGATCAAAAAGAAAAAAAATTATAGTCAAAATACTGAGACCGCCATTTATTCTGGCGCACCCGTTATGTACGCATTATATACAGTGGATGTCTTATCTAACTGTGAGCATTTGACATACTTCGATACAGTCTAACTCACTTATTGTCAAATTAATGAGTCCGCAGAAAAATAAAATTCTAGATTAACTGAAAGATGTATATACAGTGGGACTTTTTATATTAAGATAAATTCAAATATAAATGATAGTATAACGACTAATTTTTTCACTCGTAAGAATGATCACATAGAATTGAAGATGGCTTAATATTGTGTGTCTTGATAGCTTCGTTGGTAAAGCATCTGGCTAAATACCAGTTGTGACAACCTCCTGCGTTCGATTTTCAGTCGAGACTCATTTTTCTTTTCTATATATATATAGATTATTCTTATGAGTGAAAAAATTATTCGTTATACTATCATTTATATTTGAATTTATTTTAGATTAATTGACATTAGAATCTGGGCTAAACGTTTACAGATCCAAGTTATAGGATATAATTCAAACAAAATTCTATGCAAGTTAGTTTAATAAAACGTGACGGGATCTTCTCTATATTGGATGTCTACAGTACAGATTCGTCATGTATGATAAGCGTGCACACACTGAAGAAGTTGTATATAACAACCATCGAAGTTATAAGCTATGAAGAAGAAATCATCGTCTTACACTGATACTATTTGTGTAGAATTCTAATGTCAACAATAGAAACTTCCATTTTCTATGAGAAAAAAATAAAAATAAATATCATCATTACCTACTTTAAGATATTCGTCCGACGATATTTGATCAAATGAATGAATGTATAGGAATCGTCACACGTTTTTATGCATTCATCCTGAATAAAAAGCCATCCTATAATTCTCAATAGGGAATAAAACTCTTAGTTTGATGTAAGGGTTTTTCCTCTGACTTTTGGATAAAATAACATAATGCCTTCTGTTGTTGTTCGTTATGGTGTAATAACGAAGGAAAAGAAGAATTTGTATTTTTCTTTTATTCATCAACCCGACGTTCTTTTTCTTGAGTGTGTGGGTAAAAGATAGATGTATTACTCACACACATACCGTAGTTTTTAAGACAGATATCTTGAAAACTCTTCTTGAGCCGAAGAAACAAACTTGACCAATGTGTTAGAGAACTAAGTTGAGAATCTAAAGTGTTTTAATCTCACTCTTGGAAAACGTGTCAAAACATTTAACACCACCTAGTGTATTAGTCTGTTCGCCATTTGATATTGATTTGATGATTCATTTCAATTTCGCCGTAGACTACTCATTCATTCACCGCCAATTTAGGTTATATAAAAAGATGCCATTGTTTTCATTGACGACATCGGTCAAACAGAGGACATAAATATATCTATACTAATAGGCAAATCGAAATCGTCATACGTGAAGATAAACATGCAATATTCATTTATTCGATTGAATGATTTACCTGACGAGATTCTTATAATTATTTTGAAAAAATTACACAATATTGAAGTACTCTATTCTCTATTAGGTGTTAACAAACGACTTGATACTATCGTCTTAGATTCAATTTTTACAAGAAATTTGACAATAAGAAGATCTTTTAATGGTTTAAATCAACTTCCCAATGCAGTACTTGATCGATTTTGTCTGGAAATTTTACCTAAAATTCATCATAAAATTGAATGGATTGATGTTGAATTCTCATCTTTAGAACGTATTCTTCTTTCAACAAATTATCCTAATTTAAATGGACTTGGTTTATATGATCTTACATCAGAAAGAGCTCGAGATTTCTTTATTGGTAAGATATTTTCAACTCTTTCTATAATTTATTATTTAAAGATATGAATACAATTTACCTCAACCTATATATATCATATAAGCAGAGTTTAATTATTATCAATACTTTTTTTTATAAGTTTTATCCGTAATATTCATCGATGAAGTAAATTTAAAGGAAGTTTCAGATAAAGACATGATTTGAAAGAAAATAGAACTATTATTTTCTAACATTTTCATTTGAAAATCTTTGATTCCTAAAGAAGAAAGTACATTGTATAGAATAACTGATTAAAATTTAAAAAAAAACAAAGGATTAGGATTGATACAATGAATTATAGAATTTAATAGAAGATCATATAAAATTGACGTATTAATAAGGAAAAGAGAATAGAATATTTTAAATAAACTAATAAATAATTTAAAAGAAATTTTCAATGTTTATTAAGATTCAAATTTGTTAATCTGTGCTTTCAAAAATCAAATTTCATCACTTGTTATTGATATTAATAAATATGAAGGATCAAGAAGTTCAATCAAAGATATAAATATCTATATATTTACACAAATTTTTACTATGTTCAGTAACTTAAAATATTTAAAATTTGGTCCATCTTCTTCTGTTTATCATCGATTAACATTATATCCATCACTTCCAAATGTCTTCTCTTCGACTCTGTTAGAATTACATGTTGTATTACATTCTTACAGCGATTGTCTTTATTTACTTGATGGTCGTTTCAATCAACTTCATGCGTTATCTGTTCTCATTTGTTCTTTCTCTGGTCCTTTATTAACGACAATCAATAATGAAGTAAATTACTGATTTTTTTTTACACAGCTTTTTTTTTAGTCGAATGAATTAATAATACTTTGATGAATATTAATTATTTGTGCCTTTATTTTTCAGAAGAAACTTCCAAATTTAAAATGCTTCTCGTTTACTCAAAATGGAATGATATACATCTACGATACTTTTCTTGTTCCACTTTTACGTAGAATGTCAAATCTAGAACAACTTAGTTTATATTTTATCGCTCCCTATGGACCAATTATTGATGGCGATCATTTGGAAAAGAATATTATCAATTATATGACAAAATTGAACAAATTCAGATTTAGTATTCATTCAAGTGTTCTTCTTAATGAACAAATTTATTTACCATCAAATGAAGATATTCAAAAATCATTCAGAAAATTTAAAAAGAATCACATTATATCAAATGTTGATTATTTTTCACAAGAAAATCAATATCATTGTCATGTTTTCTCATATCCATATACATTAACATATTATGATAACATAACAAATAATTTTCCTGGTGGATTATTTAAATGTGTTCGTAAAATATCACTATTTGATGAACGTCCTTTTGAACATGATTTTTTTATTCAAATTGCTCAATGTTTTCCATATGTGGAAAAATTAAATTTGCGTAATTGGCAACTACAAAAGAATGAAAATCAGCAATGTTCAATCATAGAATATCCTCATCTTATTGAACTTGATCTTGTTCGAGTTCATGAAAATTATGTTGAACAATTTTTAGATAATAGGAAAATATCTTTACCAAATTATGTTTATCTTTATGTAGATTATCGTATTCTAGATAAAGTAACACACAATTTTACAAGAGATGCAACAAGAATGAATTGTTCCAAAATTAATGATCTATTGCTATTGAATAAACCAGCATTTGCTGTCGATCTAAAAGACTATTTTCCTCATGCTAAAATAGAGTGACTATTATTAACTATTAATTGAATAAAACTTCAAAAAAGAAAAAGAATTTCAAATCATTATATTCATCAAAATATAATCACATTAAACTTGTACAAATAAATGACAAATACATCGGTAAATGTGAAAAGGAGTAATATTCTTGCACTGTCTCTTCTTGTGTATTTGAGAAGTTAGAAAGTCTTAGATTACAATGTGAAAGAATAAACTAACGTAGACTAATAATTTTGGTGAATAATTCATTGATGACAGTACACCATATTTAAGGTATTGACAATCTGATTATAAGTTAGGCAACATATTTGATGAGTCATGAGACATACAGTTGAAGGCAAAAAGACATGCAAGATACGATATACTCGTAATTCCAGGTGAAAAAATGTATTTTAGAAAACTGTTTGCGTTTACATGCCACGTAGTTTTTAATTGAATTATGAGTTAAATTTTCTATTGGAATAATTATGTACATGAAGCTGTAAATAATCCATCTCTAGTATTTATTTTTGTCTTTGCGAAATTCGATTATCTATCAATGAAAACGAATCAAATAAATTCTTTGAAAAGCATTTTTTCATAGAGAGTAGAAGCAATTGCATTCGTTAAAAATAAATTCCAAGAATAGGAGAAAAGAAAGAATTGCGTAGCTCGATATCGAAAAATATGGATTTTGGCCCTTTTTTTTAAAGCTTTTCTGAACAAAATGCCAAAATAAAATACGTCTTGTGGAAATGTTTTTTTTGTCCCGAGGGCATAGATAAATCAGATATATATATATATATAGCCAAAATAAAGAGAGAGAAATATCAAAGAAAGAAGAAAACACACAAAACAATATGTATTTGGATATATAATAGACATGTGGAACCCTTCGATGTCCTCGAATAAACGAAAGAGGAATAAAACAAAGGAAAGCAAAAAAATATCTATAGATCGAGGTCATCTAGAGAAAAGAATGATTGTACCAGAGCCTTAAGTCTATCCGACTTAATAGAAAACGCACTAGTGTGATCTATTCGTTTATATATAAATACTAAAGATACATCATTTCGAAGAGGACAAATAACTGATATGTAAGAACGAATCATTTTCTTTTGTTGAATATAATTCCATACTTGGATAAAAATAATACAGCAAATAAATTAAATTATATAAAGTAAACTTCCACAGAAATATTTTTTTTACTATCATTACATATGTATCTGTGTGTTCATATGAATAACAGTGATGCAGAAGAGTTTTTTATGTTCCTAATAATGGGTTTATTTCAACACTTTTATTTTAGATTTTTCATGGCTAATTATCCTTGTTTATCGTACATTCACAGCCATTATATATTGATCTATGAAAAACGTGAAGAATACCTGATATCTGTGTTACACTGGATATGTTAAACAAGAAGTTTCTGGTTGAACATACAAATAAGGTAAAAAATCGTATTGCTTTAATATATTTATTTATATCTTGTAGCCAAGTGAATTTTTTTGTTATGAAAAACAAAATGAAAACATTTTCATTAATTACGTGAAGGACAATATTGTTTTACAATTAGAAGTTTGTACCGATCTTCAAAATTTTCATGTGCATATTCTGGTAAAAGATATAATAAAAAAATATTTTATCTATAAATTGTATGTTTGTTTCAGTATCAACAGAAAATTGATGATGAATTTAAAGTTACATCAAACAATTATGTTACACATGATGGGTGAGTTGCCATCTGACTTAAAGAAATAAGTTTTTAATATTTTTCATTCAGTAAATTTCAAAATCTCGACGAATTTCTTCAAGTGCTCGATTACAAGATCACAGCAGCATTTAATGCAATAAAGAACAACAAGGTTTAATATCAACGAAAAAAATCATAAAAATCTGTTCTTCGTTTCTTTTTTTTTGTTGATTTTTATTAAAGTCATGTTTAAATAAAAACATGATTCACAAGAATTGAAGATTTTCTTTTTTCTTGAAAAAAATCAATTTAACCTTGATTTGTCATATCAGTATAAACATTATTATTGATAATTTGTTCATATGATGAAGGAGATTCTTACTGAGACGCACTGAAAGAAATTTTTAGAATTAATTGTTGAGATAAGCTGATAAGTAGTATTTCTGGAAGGTTGATTTTGTTTATTTCGACGACATCAGTACGTCTCTAAATATAATTGACGAAACGCACATATTTACTTACGTAATTGGTTATCATATGATTATGAAATGTTTAAATGATAACCGTTCAGGTGATGTTTAACATGTTTCATGACTTTCATCACATATATTATGTTCAATAAGCTAAAAAGACAAGTACAGAGAATGGGACAGATCAATTTCCTTTCACAACATCATGCTAGTTGAAAAGAGTTAAACGATTATCTTGACAAACTATCACATAAAAAATCAAAATATAAAAAAAAAATTCAAATAGAATTGGTATGTGAACTTCAATGTATCTTGGTGTTGTTGATTAGAGCAGCTTGTTCATGCTTAGATTTACTTATAAAACGTTCATAATTCAATGATCTAAGCCAAGAACTTATTTAGACGGGTAGCGATCAAAATGAAATCTGAAGGAAATGTATTTACTCGAAGAATAAAATGTTTTAAACACGAGAATGTTGTCAGAACACAAGCTAATTGTGAAAAGTTACACGTATCAAACGTTATACGAAGATAAGTGAGATCAGGAAATCCAACCGATAAGAGAAGTTGTTCAAGATACAATTGAGGATGAACAACAGTTAAACGACGAATATGTGAATTTGTAAATAAGGTTGGAGAAGATGAATAATTTTTATAGAAATAATTAATAGTTAATGATGTAGTACAACGAAGATATTCAATACATTTACAAAGAATTTCTGGTGATATTGATTGTAAATGAAGCTGACGAATTGTTCTATTCGTAGTATGTGTTGTATTCAGTAAATAAACGAAAGCACCTCTCGGACAACCAATTGATATAGGATGAGGAAAACGTACTTGTCCAAAAAGAATTCGTTCATAAAATTGACATGGTGCTGATAACAAAAAACAATGAGTTAAATGAGGTTGATTGTCAGGAGCAATTTGCTGATATTGTTCCTTTGAGCATTGAGTCAAATAGAGAAATTGAATGTTAGTTAACCCTTTGAGTCCGGGCGACGCGAATTCGCATCCTGATATTTTGGGACCTGAATAACATTAAAAAACACGATCAGTTGATTATTTAATAACATGAATTGCATGAATATTTGCGTTTAGGATATTTGTGCAGTTAGGATTATCTATATCTAGTGACGATTGTGGATTGGTCCTTAATATTTCTGACAATCAGCATATATTTAATGAGTTAGAATATGAGTCAGTTTGATTACATTTCTCGAGAAAGAATCGGTGCTCTCAAAAAGATATCTCGTGTTATAAAAATTGTTTAGCATAACATCTGTAAGAAAGAGTCTGATCGAAAGATCGCTTTTGATGAATAATGTAGAGTGCATTTTTTTAATATAAACTAAAAAAAAATCAATCTTCGTTTAGCTACTCATCAACTTGCGGTAATTCGAGAAATTTTTGGAACATATGGTAGTCATATGTCACGTTCAATTGGTCAGCCACTTTCTGAAAGTTCATTCCAATCACGGCACGACATTTTCCTTTGCGCATTGCATCAACAACCACTCAGGAAATCCAAGAAGAAAATGTTACGTTTGTGCTAATATTATGAGGAGAGCTTAGTCAAAAAAGAGATTTTCGTATGAATATATTGAATGTGATATAGGGCTGTGTCTTATAGCCTGTTTTAAAGACTATTACATTCTGAAAGCGTTTCGAATCATGTATCTCGTGATAGTTTTTGCAAAATAAACGTTAATTTGAAATTATAAAAACTTTTACTATATAAAAATAATCCCGGACTCAAAGGGTTAATTGATTGAGAAGGTTAAGATAAATTTTGGATGAAAACACGATTGACTTTTGTTGATTGCTATAATCGATTATTAACCTATCTGTTCGATTAAAACGATAAAATTTCAAATCAATTGTTAAGATTATAACCAATCTTTATTTGCTACACAAGTTGGAAATATGTTTGGACTTGATGTTAATCCAGAATGGGAAATTATTGCTAAAAACTCAAAATAATTTTTTTTTGTTTCTTTTAACTTATTTGAAACCATCACCACACCATTATGTTTGTCCAAAAAATGAATAAATATTTTCTTTTCATCTCTTGTTTGTTTTTTCTTTATCATTTTAATATTTAACTTATCCAATGAATTTTAATGTAACTCAAAAAATTATAAGAAATCATGCTGAAACATTTATTCCAATCACATACCAAGAAAATGCAGGTATGATTAGTCTTATTCATGCTATTGTATGGCTTATATTAAATGAATTGTCTAAAGCTGAAGATGAATTTAATCGATCTTTACACGCGTGTACATATAGAGAATTTCATGTTCGAAATGAAGTTTGTTATTTTCTTTATTAATTTGTTGAAAATAATAAATAGGTAGATATTCGTGCAGATATCATTGGAGGATATGGATTTAAGTAAGATTTCGTTTTTTTTAACAAAGATTTTCGATGTTTTAGATTTCTAGCAATAACATACATTAATCAGTGATTTGATTTAAATTTTTCAGTATTTTATATGTTATGTAGTAGAATACAATCTAAATCGAAGTGTTTCTTTGGCAAATTGTCTCGAAATATTATGCTCATCAAATAAGATAGACTATCAAAATTTAGTGTCAAATATTAACTTATATGGATTAATTAGAATTCGATTAAAGATCAATACAAAAAAACTTTAGAAAATGATAAGATTCTAAAAGAATTCATATTCTAATTACGAGAATATCATTTTATATCAAAGTCCTTAAAAAATCAAATTTCAGACTTTCACCATGACATTTTTTTGATCAAGATACTTTTTTAGTATACGATAAAGATTTCAACTAAAATAGAAATTTTTTTCTTCAAATATTGAATTATGTCGAATGATGACATTTGTTTTTTTTTAATCTCTTTCAGTACTCATTTTCTTACTGATGATCATGGATTTATTCAATCAGTTATGATGGATTATGCTGGTTTTCGATATGATGATAAAAGTCTTCTATTTAATCCTTTATCGTGTATTTTAACACCATCAACAAAATATATTCGATTACAAAATCTTCTTATTCGAAATAATATCCATTTGATTATACAATTGATCAATCATCAATGTATTTTATTTCTTCTTATATTTATACAAATCTTTTTATGTATTACTGATAATTATGGTACTCAAAGGATAATTACAAATAATGAATTAAAATTAAATATTCATGATATTCAACTTCTAATTCGAATTGATTTATGTAATTGAATTTAAAAGAATTTTATTTCAAATAATGATTAAATACTTTGTATCCTTTTTTCTTATTATTTTATCACAATGATTAGTTTACAATTTAAAAAAAAATCAAATAAAAGAAAGACATATATATATATATTGTCATACTATTATTATGTACATAAAATAAAATAATTAAGAGAAAAATAATACCAGTTTACACTCCCCTTGTATACAAAAGATATTGCCTGAATCATTTGGAAGAAAAATACTTTTTTTTTATCCATTTCGATCACTTCTTGGTTGTTTACCAAAACATCGAGCAATACTTGGTAAAACTTCACTCACCTTGAATAGGACCTTAAAAGAAATATATTTTTATCTTTTGAAATTAAAATTTTCTTTTTTTTTACCATAAGGAACTTTTTCACCATCAATCGTCATATTTCCATTTGTTTCTGATGGTACTATTTGAAATGCACGTATAGGCATCCATTCAACAAAATCATAATTTAAATGTTTTCCATCAGATAATTTTGTAAATGCTTTAGCTAAATTTAAACGTGTTGCACCGCTAATACGCATAAATTGTAATGTTAAATAACCATCAGCCAATGTTGATTGTGAAGTTGATACAGAACCTTTTGCCATAGCAGCTTTTGATGTAATAAGTACATGAGCAAATGGACCATCAATACGACGCCATTTACTTGTCGTTGGATCAATTGGTATAGGTTGGGGTGTGGGTGTGGGTGTGTGGGTGTGGGTGGGTGCGGGTGTTAATTAATACTACAGAAACACCCTCACACCGACACCCACACCCACACCCACACACACCACACCCATAATCGTCCGCGATGAAGCATTCTATATTTAGCTACAGAAAAACAACATCACATTAACTGACGTCTTGTCCACTTGATAACAATGGTCACTTTTTTCGATGATTTACCTGATCTATCATTAATCGAAATATTTTCTTATCTATCTTGTGTGGATGCTTTATGAACATTCAGTAAACTCAATACTCGTCTGACAACATTATTACTTGAGCAAAGTTTCTATCGTCATATCAATTTATCATCTACTCGATATTATCAGTTTCGAACACTTTTGCCTTCATTGCGATTAAATGAAATACATTTACTTGTCATTGATTGTTATGCATCGCCTCTTCAACTGAGTAAATGGCCTTATTTACCTCGTTTGCAAACATTGAGAGTAAAGGGTATATGTGATTATGTCGATATTTGTTATTTTGTACTTAAGCATGCCAATATATTGATTTATCATACAGTTGAATGAAGCACATATTACCGTAGGGAAAGTACATTTAAAAATGATTTTAATAGTAAATGAATACAACAGAGTAAATAATGAAATGTATAATATACAGAAGTATATTATTATTTGACAGTTTATTCGTTTTTGGTATATAAAACGGCATTAGAAAAAAAAAACATTTGCGACAACATATTTGAAAAAAAACTTCCGAAAAAAATGATTAATCATAAATGTTGCTATGATTTGATTTCTCATGGGAATAGATCAGATATATTTGACAGAGTCCTATTCTTAATAGTTTTAACTAACTCAAATAAATGTAACTAGGTAGGAAATAATATGTAATTAATCCTCAGTTTTTCAGTGTACTATTAATTTTTTCTGTACAATTTCGATGCTTTCGTCTACATGAAATTTTTGAAAGAATTAATGGCAAACTAAAGAAAAAAGATCTTACGAAAAATTGACTCTTTTGTGCGTATTCCAAAAAGCTGGAAAGATTTACTCTTCTCATATGTTTCCTTTTTTTTCATAACGAATTTCTATTGTCAGAAGTTTGAATAAGGGAAGAAAAAAGTTCAATTTTCAATTGTAATATTATATAGATTCTTTGTACTTTTATTTGTTTGATGTAGTTTGATGTGATAAACCAAGATTATTTTGTGTCATGGAGTTTTGAGACTTTAGAGGACTTCATGGAAAAGGTTTTTCAACATTTACGTGCTCTTCGTTCGATTAATCTTGGAATGGAATCGTCTTTTTTCCTATTCAATTGGTGTTTAGAAACCATACGAACACCATTGACATACCTTCGCATTACATGTTCAACAACAACCACTATAGTTGACCTGATGTTAACACAACCATTGCCACATACATTGCAACAATTTCATGTAAAACTAAATAACGATTGGAGTAGTTCGCATATTGATATATCTGCTGCAAAGCTTTCACCTCGAATGAAAGCCTTGCACACATTTACTTTTGTGAAGTCGTTCAAATGGCACTATAGAGAAGAATGGACATTTGTAGATATTTT